AGGGCGTTTGCCTTGCATGAGGCCGACCTGGTTGACCTGAGTTCTATTCCTTTGGCCCTCTCGGAGAGCCTGGTAAGTTGCTGAGAGTATCTTGCCTGCATGGCAAAGCCTGGCAAGCTACCCATGATGTTTTTGATATACCCAACACAGTAACAACAAGTCTCACAATAGAGACATTACTGGGTCTGCTCAAGCAAATCGATGAACAACAGGAGGACGGTGCGACAGTTTTGGGTCTGAGACAGTCCCTGTGTTTCCTTCCTTCCTTCCTTCCTTCCTTCCTTCCTTCCTTCCTTCCTTCTTTCCTTCTCTTTCTTTCTCTTTCTCTCCCCTCCCTCCCTCCCTCCCTCCCTCCCTCCCTCCCTCCCTTCCTTCCATCCATTTCCAGCAAATCTAACTCCTAGACTTGGTGAAAGCTACTGTGGTTACTGGAAGGAACGAGGGGTGAGGAGGGAGGGAGGAGGCCAACTCGGGCTTGGAGGGTCCTGAAATCGTAGTGGCAGGCAAGGTGAACCCTACACACGTACAGAGGAATAGAGCCGTATTCCTGGGTCTTTCTATAGTGCTTTAGCACTATACATGAAGGAAGATCTATTTTTTTTTTTAAACGGGATAAAAAACAGAAAAGAAAAATGGGAGAAAATAAAATAGAGTCCCTGCCTGGTCCCCACTAAGGAAATAAAAAAAAAAAAGATTTCTTACCCTTAAAAGTATATATGAAGAGAACTAGACATAGCTAGAAAAACACAAGAGGCAAAGCTTAAGCTTTGGGCTTTGCTTTTCCCAACGCTGCTCAATCAGTATTCAGACCTCACTGTGCTGGAAACATCCATGAGGAGGGAGTTGGTAGGGATGCTTCATCTTCCCCCAGGAAGTTTGTTGTCCTGAATTTAGCTGGCTTAGCCCAGCACCCAGATGAGAGAGTCTTAGCCGCAGAGGTGTCCCTGTGGGTGTGGGGGCACCGTTATCTCACCTTCAGGGAAAATGCAGCCAGGAGCAGACCAGCCAGTGCCTCGACTTCCCACCCAGCCTTGAACCCAAGTTTAGACATTGTTAAAAAAAAAAAAGTTTAAACTTTATTTTTACACCATGTTTTACGAAGTTGCTCAGAATCCAGCTGTTTTTATGCAGTCAGTGTCGCAATACTAAGCCTGCTGTGGCCTCCCCGCCACCAGTGTCCTCAGTTCTCCAGCCAACCCCCAAGGCTGCCCCCTTAGCAGGTGAAAAATCATTTACTTTCTATTGCTTGTCATCACAAAATGGCAAATTATCAAAAAAAAAAAATAGCGCAGTAAAGGAAATTGGTTAAAATTGTGATACCTCCCAGTGGTGTTACTGAAGTCATTGAGGGTTTACTGAGTTGGTTGGTGCTGGCTGAGCCTTTGCTGATCATTGAGCTTAGCGGGTTTTGATGCAACTTTCCCATCAAATTTGCTGTGCTCCCACACTAGGCCGTCAGTAGTGTGCAATCTGGAGATGTTGCATGTGGAGCTGAACTGTTCATCTTCTGGAGGGTGTTGGGTGTGTGTGGGGGGGGGGCATGGAGCACTGGGTCTTTGAGCCGGGTGGGGGCTCAGCCAGTCCCGAACCCTAAGAAGGCTCCAGAGTTCTCAGCCTGGAGACTGTCTCCCTGGGACAGTCCTGCGGTTTAGTCTCTCTTTCTCTCTCTCTCTCTCTCTCTCTCTCTCTCTCTCTCTCTCTCTGTAGAAGTACTGCTATTTATTCAGCCACTTATTAGCTGATTGAATTGGGCATGAACTCCACCTTACTTTTTTTTTTTCATTTTTTATAATTTTATTTATTGAATCACCGTGAGAGCAGTTACAAAGCTTTTGGGTCTAAGTCTCGGTCATACAATGAAACACCCATACCTTCACCAGTGCCCATTCTCCACCACCAACAACCCCAGTATACACCCATCCCACACCCTCCCCCTACCTGTGGGGCAGATGATCTCCACATTACTCTCTCTCTCTACTTTGATCACATTCACTATTTTGACACCAGACCCACCATTATTATTTGAGATTTTACCCCAACACTCAGGTCTGCTTGAAAAGGCAACAGTAGACAATTTGCTTTCTATTGCTTGTTGTGAATAACATATGTTGTTGTGTGGCTGCAGTAGTGGCCGCACAATTTTGAAATTCCGAAATTTTAACACTTAAATCTGGAGGGATTTCTGTCAAAACCTGCTGGGTTCTGAGATTTGCTCCTGAGTCTCTGGGATCATGGCCGTTAAGCAGCTTGATCAGGCGCCAGAGAAAGGCCATTCATGGGCGGTGACTTGGGGTCTCATTGGGATGGGGACAAAAAGGCTGGCTCCACCCCCATCCCGTGAGGCCCCACATGTCTTGTCACTGAGGTCCCAAACCTGACTATCCAGTGGCTTCTGGAGGATGGTGGCCACTGAGCCACCTTGGGGGAGCAGGCGGAGGGACAACACCTTTGCCCCCTGGGGTGGCCCGGCAACAGTAACCTACTGCGCGGTCCAGACGCATTTCTGCCAAAAGCCGTTGGGTTTTGAGATTTGTTTCTGAGTCTCTGGAATCATGGCCGTTAAGCAGCTTGATCAGGAGCCAGAGAGGCCGTTCGTGGGTGGCGACTCGGGGGTCTCATTGGGGTGGGGAGGAAAAGACCGGCTCCACCCCCATCCTGTGAGGCCCCGTGTGTCTCGTCACTGTGGGCCCAGACTGTCCAGTGGCCTCTGGAGGGTAGCAGCCACTAGGCTACCAGGGGGAACAGGCCAAGGCACGAAACCTATTCCCACCTGGGTTGGCCCAGCGCCAGAAACCCACTGCAGGGACTCGACGCATTTCTGCCAAAAGCCGCTGGGTTCCTAGATTTGTTTCTGAGTCTCTGGGATCATGACCGTTAAGCAGCTTGATCAGGAGCCAGAAAGGCTGTTCATGGGCGGCAACTCGGGGTCTCGTTGGGGTGGGGAGGAAAGGGCCGGCTCCACCCCAATCCCGGGAGGCCCTGCTTGTCTCGTCACTGCGGCCCAAACCTGACTGTCCAGTAGCCTCTGGAGGATGGCAGCCACCAAGGCATGAGGGGGAACAGACCAAGGCATGAAACTTATTCCCACCTGGGTTGGCCCAGTGCCGGTAACCTGCTGCAGGGACCAGATGCTTTTCTGCCAAAAGCCTTTGGGTTTCGAGATTTGTTTCTGAGTCTCTGGGATCACGGCCGTTAAGCAGTTCAATCAGGAACCAGAGAGGCCATGCCTCCAATTATATAGCTGAGCCGGAGGTGGTTTGTGGGTGTGTTTTCCACATACCTAACTTTTGGCCATTTACTTTCTTGGTAAACTTTGCCCCAAGGTTTTGGGGTCTGGCCAAAGGCACAGCAGCAATTTTTGGGTATCTGTAAGTCTGAAGGCGCCATCAGGTTGCTGATGCACTCGCCTCACAGGTACAGATTGACCTGCTGGCAGCACCATACCCCCCACCCCTAGTTTAATGTCTCTTTGAGATTAGCCATGCGCTGGGAAGCTGGGTAGTGTATATGCCCGCCTGCAGCACGTGATACACTATTTCCATTTTGATTTGGGGGGAGGGGACTTGGGGCCACACCTAACAGTGTTCAGACGCTGTTCCTGGCTCTGCACTCAGAGGTCATCCCTGGTAGTGCTCTGGGGACCAGATGTAGTGGTGTTGGGGGCTCCAACTGTGACTTGCCACGTGCAGGAAAAAGTGCCGTAACCCCATACAGTCTCTGTGGCCCCACTCTCTGGGTTTGATCGTGATCACGTCTGGTGGTGATGGGGGACCTTGCGATGCTGGTGATCAAACCCAGACCTCCTGCATGCAAAGCGTTGTTCTCAGCTCATTGAGCCACCTCTCGGCCATAGTCATGATGTGCGCATGAGATAGAATGTACACATGAGACATGACGTGTACAGGAGACATGACGTGTACAGGAGACAGAATGTACACACGAGACAGAATGTGCACAAGAGACAGGATGTGCATATGAGACATGATATGCACATGAGACATGTACATGAGACATGACATGTACATAAGACACGATATGTATATGAGACAGTGTGTACATGAGACATGACGTGTACATGAGATGTGATGTGTATATGAGATGTGAGATGCACACCGCTCGCTCAATGTAGAGGATCCTCCAGAGCTAATGTCAGGATCTGACTGACTGACTGTCGATGTTCTCACTGCCGCACCCCGCCGGGACTCAGACTGCCCTGTGGACCTCTGTTCTCTGCCTGGGGAGCGGCTGGTCATTTTTTCCCTGGTCAATAATGAATTGTCTCACCGTTGACCAGTAGCGAACAGTGACCGAGGAGCAGAATCTCCTTGGACAAGGAGGCCCCAGCTGAGTAAGTGAGGCGTCACCAGATGCACTGTCGCTGTTGGCTGGAAACCTCATGTTCTCGGCAGATGTCACCCAGGTCCCCTGCGAGCCCCATTTCTCCTCTTGGATCCAGATCCCTCTTTGCACCCTCCTCTTCCAGCTGGACAGGGCCGTGAGCTGTCTTTTCTGGATCAACCACGCGCATACAGGCCTGAGCTGAAGGCCCCCAGCACCCCTGCCGCTGTCCTCAGGGGAAGCGTCTTCCTAGAGAAAATGAACTTGGATAAGTTTGAGGCTCTTTTTTTGCCTCAGGGAGGAATTATTTCATCTGTAGCCTGTCCAGAGATTCTTGTTTATTTATTACACTGAACCCAATCAAAACAGCATGATAGTCACAGGATATTTTGCAAGTCCCTTCAAGTGTGCGGGGCACTCACTCTGGATTTGTTCCACTTCAAGTGGAAAAGTTTATACAAAATTTGCTCTCTGGCCTTTCCCCAAGAAGGATGCTTACCTGGTCTCTGTTGGGCGCCAGCTCTGGTCGAGGGCAAGGCTAGAGGGGCTAATAAAACTCTTACTCCAATAAAGAGCGCGGGGAATCCACTGAGTTAGGTGGGACATACTCCTTTCTCCTTCCCAGTGACCTCATGCCTGTCCTTCATGCTTTGACCCTACAGGACACACAGACATTCAGGTAGCTCCGCGAGAACCACCGCCACAGCCGGCGAGCAGAGCCCCGCCGGGAGCAGCCGACACCGCCAGCCCGTCAAGAACCCGAGTCACAGCAGCTTGGCCAATGTCACAGGTGAGTGACCGCCCCACGTGGCCGCCCCTGTTCTGGGCGTGGGGACTCTGGCCTCTGGCCTCTACCTGCTGTGACAGTGTGTGGGGTGGGTCAGACCAGACCCCTGTGCTTGGATGGATTTGAATCCACTCACCTCTCCACTGGCCCAAGTTCTTGGGTCCCGGGCAAGTTCTGCCGAGCCAGGCCACTGTCCATCTCGCACATTCTTTATTGCTCAGAAGTGAAAGGTTATGCTTTCCCTGGGAGGGCGAGACTTCGAGACAACGCCATCGTTCATTTCCTGAAGGGAAACAAGCCAATGGGGGAGAAAGGAGACAGAGGCTTGTGGGTGAGGGTTAGTGTCAGTGAAGATGGGTGCGCTGTGGAGTGGATGAGAGGTAGCCTGGACAGCCCCGCGATGGCCGCTGGGGACACTCCGGGTTCCCTTTGTTCTGGGGAGCCAGCCCTGCCGCCTCCGGGGGGACAGGCCCCATCTGCGCTCCTGTAACTGGGGGACAGAGGCGTGTTTCACAGCGACTTCCTTTGGCCCTGCTCTTTCTTGTCACGACAGAGAAGGGGAAAAGAGAATAGCACATTTTTTCCTCAAAATTGTTGAAGAGGGATTTTGAGGAATAACCGATGCACCCCAGGGTTTAAGGGAACTGCCTCGTGGTTTGATTGGCACTCACTGTGAACTGGGGCCAGAGACAGAGTGCGGGGGGAGGGGGGGGGAGGCACGTATGTGTCTTGGTCTGCGGCCAATTCCACTTTGATCCCTGGCACTACTTGGTCCCCTGAGCACAGAGCCAGGAGTAGCTGAATACTTGGCAGGTATGGCCCAAACCGCCCCTCTCAAAATATGCACATTCTGTGAGATGATAACCCTGCCGATAGGCTCAGTTAACATCCATGTTCTCATATAGAAACAGGAGAAAGGAAAGAAGGAAAGAAAGAAGGCAAGGGCTAGAGAGACAGTTCAGGAGACAGGACGCATGCCTTGTATGTGGCTGACCTCAGTTCGATCTCTGGCATTGCAGATGGTCCCTTGACCACCTGAGTCGAAATCAGGAGAAAGTCCTGAGCACTGTGGGTGTGGCCCCCCAGAACAAGGACAGCAATACATGTCAAAGAAGCGGGGTGGATCAAGTTTTCCTAGGGATGTAGATTGTCAAATATTTTTAAAAATAATTTTTAGTTTTTGTTCTTTGGGTCACACCCAGGGATCCTCAGGGGTTACTCCTGGCTCTGCACTCAGGAGTCACTCTTGGTGGTGCCTGGGGGACCTTATGGGGTGCCAGGGATTGAACCCGGGTTGACCACATGCACAGCAAATGCCCTCCCTGCTGTACTATCACTCTGGCCCCTAATTGTTTCTATTTTTAAAAAAATGGCATTGGGGGCAGCCCCAGTGATGGCAGGGGCTTCTTGTCCTTTGCCCAGCAGTGCTGGGCATCCAGCTCAGGGCCCCGTGCGTGCCAGGCATGTGCTCCAACTAGCCATCCCACCCGTCCCAAGATTGTCCAGTCTTTAGTGACAACTGGTCACTTGGTAATCTGTCTTAATCCAGGACAGTTGGAAAGGTTCAGAGACATGAGTGTTTAGATCCGTGTCCCCGAAAACGCTGGTGGTGGCCGAGATGAGGTGGGGCATGGGCTTGAAGCTGCCCAGCTGTTCCCAGGAGCAGGGCTGTGGCCGGGGCAGGCGGGACACGATGTAGGAATCGCTGTGGTTCCTTTCAGCTCGTGGCCACCCCCTTAGGCTGCAGAGCCCCCATGAGTTGTCCCAGGGTCCGTGTGAGCAGCGGGGAGGGGTGGCATCCTGTACAGCTCCTGCCTGTGTAGACCCTGTTCCCAGGATCTGAGCCCTGAAGTCGAGGGTGCTGTGGGGGTGAGGGGACCTGTGCACTCAGGGTGTCCGAAGGCTGCCGTACGTAGCAGCCAAACCTGCTTGGCCGGGATCTCAGTCCGTGCCCAGGGAAGCCGCGTGCTGGGCCTGCCCAGACTATTGCTAACACCCTCTTCTGGCCTTTGGTTATGTAGTGGAATGTTGTGCCCATTTGCAATCGCCTCTTTACAGCTTGTTTCAGCCCATCTGCTTTTGGGGACTCGGCCTTCTCCGCAGGCATGTCACGCTTCGGCAGGCGGGGGCAGGTGCCAGAGCATCCGAGACAGTCCGCTTTCTCACCTCCAGAACCTAAAAATGTGTCACAGGCCATGCGGGAAGTGCCTGGACATTCCCTGGCCTGACCCATGGGGGGGCAGGAGTCGTGTCGTCGGGGGTCCTGTGCAGGGGTCGAGCCTCTGGCCTGTGTCTCGTCTCTTCTACCTGCCGGGATGTCACTGCTCTTCTTCCCAGACAGCTGGGACCGCTGGACCTTCTAGCGCCCAGTCAGACACTCCAGAGAGATTCAGCCTTTCCTCTGGGGACTGGACAGAAGCCCCCGGGTGGGAACTTGAGTCTCGGGGGTCTGCACACATGAGGGTGGGCATGTTCCTGCTCCAGGGCTCTGCCGTTGGAGCCGTGAGGTCGCTGAGGTGGCACTGGGGTGAGATCTCCCTTACTCCCCCCCCCCCCCCCCCCCCACACACACACACACACACACAGCGCTGCCACAGATGCCAGGATCTGGGATGTATGGAGCGGGCATGAAAAAACACATGTGAGGGCAGAACCGGAGCCGAGCGCCTGGCGGTGGCTCGTGGTCTCCCGGCTGTGACGTCTCCCAAGGGTAGGAAACGAGAGGGAATGGCCGCTTGTCTGTGTCAAGGGAACCTTTCCACATTCTCCAAGTGGGGGGCTGAGAAAAAAGACTAATAGCCGTGCCGCGCTTCCCCACGGCTTGTTTGCAATGATTTACTGTCTTGAATTTTTTTTTTAATCAAACACTTAATCTGAAGCAACATCTCTCCCTCCAGCCTTAAATCTGATTTCCACGCACGTAGGTCCGGCTCGGCCTCCTGCCGGCTGCCGGTGGATTCTGATCCCCGGGCATGGGGAGAGAGAAGGCGACTCACTGTGTCCACGTTTCCTCGTTAATAAAATTAGGACAGGCGTCTACATCTCAGAGGGTCGTTACAGTAAGAAAATGCTCTCAGGCATGTCGAGTGCCTGGCACGGTGCCTGGACTCAGTAAGTTCTCAGAGTAGCCTTTCACCTGCGTCGTTCATTTCATAGTTAAAGCCACGCAGCCTGGGGCGGAGGGAGAGTGCAGCATGCGGGTTCGATTCCCCCCGGCGACTCCTATGGTTTCCTCCCAGGAGCCGTTCCTGAGCACAGAGCCAGCACTAACCCCTGAGCACCGCCGGGTATGATCCTCCTGTCTTGGCCCCCCCCAAATTATGCAATGCAATCTAAATAAATGTCCCTTTTTTACTTTGGGTTTTTTTTGTTTGTCTCAAAATGGAGACGTTACTGGGCCCGCTCGAGCAAATCGATGAACAACGGGAGGACAGTGCTATAGTGCTACAGTTTTTTTTATGATTCCAGTAGCCCCTTTCTACGTCGTAGTTAACCTTCATTCAAACCTTTGAATCCCTCTGTCTGGTAGAGCAGATTGCCTCCCACACAGCTTTGTTTCTTCTTGAAGTTCTTGAGTGACAGAAGGTGGATTTTATTATCGCACTGTAGCACTGTCCTCCCATTATCCATCGGTTTGCTCGAGTGGGCACCAGTAACGTCTCTATCGTGAGACCTGTTGTTACTGTTTTTGGCATATCGAATACGTCACGGGTAGCTTGCCAGGCTTTGCCATGCGGGTGCGATACTCTCAGTAGCTTGCTGGGCTCTCTGAGAGGGGTGGAAGAATCGAACTGGGGTTGTCCTGGGTTGTCCACTTGCAAGGCAAATGCCCTCTCGCTGTGCTATTGCTCCAGTCCATTTTATTATTATTTATTTTTATTTTTGGGGGGGTCACACCCAGCGATGCTCAGGGGTTACTCCTGGCAGTACTTGGGTGACCATGTGGGATGCCAGGGATTGAACCCAGGTCAGCCACGTGCAACGCAAACAACCTAACCCGCTGTGCTATCGCTCCAGAAAGGTGGATTTTTAAAAGAACGAGATGCAATGTTTGTCACCGATTCCCTTTCAAAGGGTCGAGGGAAATCATCTGCCCCAGCCGGGCAGAATCTGTTCCTCAAGTGGTGAATAAGCCTTATTTCTATCCCTCAGCAATGCTGTGATTTTACTAACGGATAGCGTGGCCCTCTCATTATATTACCTCACGGCATTTCTTCAGCTTTCTGTTTTGTTTTTGGAGGATGAGCCCTGGCTCTGTGCTCAGGAATCAGTCCTGGTGAGCTTGGGGACCCTATGGGGATGCTGGGGACGGAATCCGGGCCAGCCGCATGCAGGCAAACACTCTCCCGACCTGCTGTTCTTTCCCTCCAGCCTCCGCGTTCGTTCAGTTATTCTGTACTCTCTTTGCTGTTGTTGTTTCTGAGCCACGCCTGAGAAACACGAGTGACCTGGTGTTTTTCCCTGCCATGACTTGCCTGTCCCTCACTGTGTTCTCTGTGCTGGGTTCCCTCACTTCTGGAACTGTGACTCCTCCTGTTCGTTTCTGCCCTGCTTTGAGCAGGGCCCCCGTGCTGTGGGTCATTGGTGTGATCATGTCGATTTCTCTAGCATCTGGAAGGACTCGTCTGGCCCTGTCATGATCGTCTTTGATAGTTTATACATCTTCAAAATCAATTTCAGACTCGAATGCTGGGGAGTGTGGTGGGATGGAGAAGGAGTGAATGTGGGTGCTGGGCGGGGAGGTTTGAACTTTGCCAGCAGGTACCCTGCTAGGGCTTGTTTTGTCATCTTTGCTGCCTCCTGCTCCCGCTCCTGCTCTTCCTCCTCCCCTTCCTCCTCTTCACGGATCATGTGATCATGTATTTTGAGTCATCCTGGGTTTCAAAAGCCTCTGTTGTTGTCATGCGCCTTCTCCTGCCCAGCTGTGGGGCGGGAAGGGCCAGTGTGTACCCCGCGGGCACCCCACATGCACCTGAAGAACCCTCCCGTACAGTGAGGTGGCC